AGGCCAGGGCACTGCCAGGCCAGGCCACGGCGCTGCAAACACGCGGCCGGCCAGCTAGTTAAGACCCTGACGCGGGACGTGCGGCGAATCGGTGCACCGGGGCGGGGCGGGGCGCAGGGCTGCAGCGACGACAAGTGGAGGGCAGGACTCGTTACCGCTACTTGTTAAAAGGGCCGGCCGGGCTGCTGAGGGCCGCGCTCCAAGAAGGCCTGCCGCTGCAGCGCGGCACGGCACGCCACGGCTGCAGCGCTCGGCTAAACCGCCGACACACGCTTTGTTTCCCCAACCAGTCGATACGTGTTCCCTCCTCCTGGAAGCCTAGAAGCCTGGAAGCGCGCCACGGAATAACTCCCTGGGAGACTCCCCCTCCCCCTGCGCCTCCACGCGCCGAGGCCGCCGAGGCCGCGCCCTTTGTTAGTGGCTATTCTCGCACCTGTGACAAAAGGGGCGAAGCGAAGCCGAAGCCAAAGCCCGGCCGGGAAAAAGCAATGAAACGCCGAGCTGCGACACGATGCACCGCGGCGGCGCGGCGGCGGGGAGCTTCGCGCTCCGCGCCTGCGAGGTTCGAGGTAGGCCACCGCGCGGGCAGTGCGCAGCCGAGCGCGCCGCGTTGCCTACCCGCACTTCGACGGGCGCTCCGCCTGTGCGCCGCGGTGGCCAGTCTCGGGGCCGCGACGACGGCGACGTCCGCCAATGAATACAAACACAAAGCGGCTCCTCCCTGCTTCTTGGGGCCCCGGCCGCCGGCCGCGCCGCACCCCCAAGCTAAACAGACGGCCGCTGCCGCCGCGCTGCCGCCGCCGGCCGGTCCAATTTTAATGACTACTCGCCGTCCGGCGCGACGCGACGCGCCCCGCCATTGTTCCGGCAAAATCCGCCGCCGTCGAGGAACAAGAGCGAACCCCCGACCCTCCGGCGGGGAGGAGGGCGACGGCAGCGCCCGGCAGCGCCGCGGAAAGAAAGCAGAAACGTATTCAGAATCATTATCGCCTGACACTTATTAATTTCTTTCCTTTAGCGCGACAGGCCGGCAGGCGGGGCAGGGGGAGCTGCCGCCGCCGGCCCTGATTTGGAGGCAGGCCTCGAGGCAGGCCGTCGTTGTAGAGCACACTGGTAATGGCGGGGCGGGGGAAGGGGGGGGGGAACGGCGCCAAGGCGGAGGAAAGAACAGAGGGAGGGGGACGAGGGCGATGATAGGGTTGGTCGGTCGGCGCTGATGAATTTGTGGCCGCCCCCGCACTGCCCCTCCCCTCCCCTCCCCTCCCCGCCGACCGGCCGGCCGATTTAAAGCGGTGGGGGACAGCGGGCTGGTCCAGGCCAGGCCAGCGGGGCGGGGAAGGGCCGAAGGGAGGTGGTAGTCGAGCATGCATTGCATTGCTTGCAGCGCTTGCAGCCCGCGCAAAACAAATGACGAACACACACGCTGCACCTGTGTCGTGGCGGGGCGGGGCGGGGCGGGGCCGCGGCCGGGCCAAACGGATGACGCAAACAACAACAGCAACATCACGGGGCGGCGATCGGGGCGTTTGTCACGGTCAGTTCCTTGCGCCCGCGGGGCCGGGCGGGGTGGGGCGGGGTGGGGCGGGGTGGGGCGGGTTGGGGCGGGGAGCGCTGCCTGCCGCGCCGCCATTTAGGGAGGGTCGGGAGACAGAATCCAGTTTATGACAAACGCGCGAAAATAAACTGTCGAAGCGAAAACACGCGCGGTGCCGTTCCAACGACAAAGAGACGACGAGACAAAAAAAAAGCCCACGCACAGTAAATCCAAAACCCAGTTTCTGGGGCATCAAAACGTAGAAAAAACCCAGAAATCGGGGTATAAAGATACCGGTAACTTTTCAAACAGAAGCCGTGCGCCTTTGCCACCAAATCATGCAGGTTTGCCGCAGAACTAGGAGTGGACGCCCCAGTTTCTGGTAGGATGGCTGTTCAATAACTGTCACGGTGCTTTCGGAGGCTGCGGCACGCGCCCCGAGGGCTGTGGCACCTTGGAACAGATTCATTTCTCCCCGGATTTTGGTCAAAAACGCCCCAGAAACTGGGTTTTGGATTTACTGTGCGATAATCAGGCAGTACGCACGCAGTTTGTCAGTGACGTGGCGAACGGCGCACACGCGTCGCCTGAACGCCGGACGGACGTAGCGAAACAACGCCCCCCCCCCCAGGCCTTATTATTCTAATCGACCTGTTTAGCAAGCCGAGTTTGGAGATTCGCATCATAGGGGCGCCGGTTCAGGAATGGGCTGCTCACTTTTCTGCCGCTGAGCCTGCACGGCCTGCACGCGCGCGTGTGCGTGTGAGTGCGTGTGTTTGTAGTCCATGTACAACACCGGCTCAGCCGGCTCGCAGATCACAGAATAAATATTAGATGGCCGCCCTTATCGAGATCAGCGCCGCCCGACCCCGCCTCACACACACACACACTACACCACAACGCACTCACACTATGACACTCAGGTAAGCCACATCGCGGCCCACGGCAACGCGTTAAACCTTTTCAAAAAAGTATATGTACTAGGGTGGAGCGGCAGAAAGGCAAAAACGCGAAAAAACGCGATTAAAAAAAAAAGTTCCGCCAAGGCAAGCTTAGCAAAGCGGTCTTGCCGTGGACCGGCCGGGGAAGCCGGGCAGAGAAGGGGCAAGGAGGGAGGGGGTGGCTGTGAGGAGTGGGGACTGGCGCGGCGAGGCGGCGTGGCGGCGCAGGCGACGACGAACGACGAACGACGAACCCCGACCATGCAGTCCCCTCCGAGCGCGCTGAATGGATGGATGGGTGGATGGATGGGATGGGATGAGTGGGATCGTATGCAGAGCTAGAAGCGGTAGCAAGACCGCTTAAAAAAATTAAAGGAGAGGAGGTGGGTTGTACGCACGGCGAAACCGCTACCACCCTCTCCCTCTCTCTCCTCCTCGGCCTGATTAAAAGTGGCGGGAATTTACACGTGGAAACTGCATCCGTCCCCGTCAGGCCGTCGGAGATAGGCGGGGAGATCGACCGCAGACTAAACACGGCGGCTAAGTCGGGGAGGCGGTGACACATCGAGGGGGCATTTCTCTTTCTCGGCAACCACCGCGTCCTCGCCGTCCTCGCCGTCGTCCCGGCCGTCCGGGCCCTCCGCGGCGAAAAATGGCGGGATTAAAGCGCGCGCGAGTTTTTTCTCTCAATACGTCGCTTTTCCCGCGGCAGGCCGTCGTGGGGGCCGTGAAGGAGAGAAGCCGGCGGTGTGGCGGGCGGATTAGCGCCGAGACAGGTGGCGACACTGTCGGCGACGACCGCCCCACTCCGACGGCGAGTTTTTCATATTTCAGTATTTGCAAAGTTTTGGCGCGCGGCAGCGGGAAGCGGCGGGAAGCGGGAACGGGCCGGAACGGAATCAAGGCCGGGCCAGCCACCGAGCCAGCCACCGCGACGCGACGCGCTCATCGCCCAGCAGACTCGCTCTGTCTCTCTCGCACGCCGACGGGACGGCCCGCGAGTGCGAGAGAGACAGACAGTGTGGCATCAGCGGACTGACGGCGGCCCAATCGAGGCGACTCGATGTCGCGGCGTATAATACCGCCATCCATAACAAAAGGCACAGTCCGCCATGTCACCGGCCTGGCCGTGGCGAGCCGGCCGGCAGACCAGGCCGACCAGACGAGCAACGTATGGAACATAAAAACTCGATTTGTCATCCGTCGGTTTGAATCACTACAACGGCGGGGTAGCAGTCAGCCGCTGAGATTGCGGCTATGTATCTGCGCGCGTGTGTGTGAGAGAGAGAGAAGGCGGGAAGGTTAGGTGAGGGTGCAGAAGAGACAGGGAACACTCTCAGCAGACCGTTACTTACTATTTCTCATTAGCAGAACGCATTTCTGACATTGTCGTTGTTTTAAATAAACTAGAAAGAAGTCTGAGAGTTCGAGAAACAAACATAGTAATTGCAAGTTTGTGTAGTGGAATCACAATAAGACAGATAAAACAGGCCGTCCCCGTTTAGATTTTCACTCAACCATTCGGAATGCGAGAGTGAGAGTGTGTGCGTGTGTGAGCGGGCTCGTATGTTTCGAGTGTAGAGCACCGTCATATTCCTGGGCACTTCCCTTGCGCCACACACACAGCGGGCCGGAACACAAGCCGGGCCGTACCGGGGAAAAACTTTTATTGGGATTTAGCAGTGGTTTTGTTGCGCGCTTTTGCCGGGCAATATGAGGCAGGGAGCAGGGCGGGCAGGGCAGGACCGTCGTAAGGGGCGGGGGAGGGGAGGGGAGGGCTCCCGGCGGCCGATGCCAAGTGATTTGTGAGCGGGTGCCGCCGAAGAGGGGAGCGGCGCGCGGAGAGCCCCCACGGCCCCACGGCCCGACCACGCCGACGGCGCGGGGCGCGGGGCCACAGCCTATTACTAGTAATTAGGGCTGACTGGAGGAACTAATGCGGCTGCGAGAAATAATTTGGGAAGTGAGCGGCGCGTACGTCGGGGAGGTGCATGTCGGCCCCCGAGGCCGCCGCGCCGCCGCGCCGCCGGCATGCAGCAGGCCGTGCAGTGCACCACCCCGAAGGCCCCAAGACCCAAGGCCCGAAGACAGGAAATTATCCCATCTTCCGGCGCGCCCCGCGCGGCCCCGCCGCCCCGCCCACCCGCACTGTATTCATGCCCCGTTTCTGGCAGTGTCAACCAAAGTGCGCGACGCGGCACGGCCTATGCGCATAGGAAACGAATTACTCGCGGCAAGGACGGGCAGGCAGGGCAGGCCCAGGGCAGGCCCAGGCCATATACGATAATATTGAGTTGCCTGCTCGGGCGGGGCGGCGCGGGGCGGCGCGCGACGGCGCTTTCCGTATTTGCTTTCCGTTTTTCCCAGAGCCCCTGCCTCGCGACGCTCGCGATCGCTTTCCGAAAACATTCCTGCCCGATCAGCCGGCCGAAAGCGGAGCACGGGGAGCATGTGTAGGGGCGTCCGCGTCCGCGCGCTCCCCGGAGACGGGGGACTCCCTCAAGGACGTTCGACGCGGTGCCTACCTGTGCCGATGGGGGTGGCGGCGGCCCTGGCGGTCTTGTCCTCGGGCAGCGCCAGGCTGCCGGTGGCGGACCTGGTGGTGGGCTTGTTGATGGCGGCCTGCGCGGCCTTGGTCAGCACGAGCGGCGGCGCGTGGATGGACTTGGCCTGCAGGGCCTGCGCCTGGATGGCCTGGCCCAGCAGCGCGGACACGGCGGTGGCGGTGGTGGACGTGGTCGTGGTGGTGCACAGCGTGGAGGTGGGCTTGGCCAGGTGGATGGTGTGGTGCTTCTTGTACGGTTTCATGTGGGCCAGGGCCTGCGACAGCGTCGTGGACTTGGCGCCCTTGCCGTCGGCCGGCACCACGCCCAGGATGACGGCGTGCCCCGGCGTGCCCAGCGACATGTCCATCGCCACGACGCCGACCACCTCGTCGCCCTTGTCGTCCATCATGTCGCCGCCGTCGTGGGGCGCCACGCGCACCGCGCCGCGCACCGGGAACCGGATGTACTGGGTGACGCAGCGCGGCGGCGGCGACACGACCTCCTCGTCCGCGTCGTCCGCCACCAGGGCGTTGTCCTCAGCGGCGTCGCTGGCCACGTCCACCGTGGCCACGTCGAGGGCGCGGCCATCCTCGAACAGCACCACGTCCTGCGCGTCCTGGCCCTGCGGCTGGGCGAGGGGCGGCGCGAGCGCCAGGGCCTGGGGCGTCGCAGCCACCACGCCGCCTTCTGCGTTCTCTGCAACACACAGACAGCGCCACAGAGCGCGTCAGACGATGAAGACAACCCAAACCACCTGCCCACACCAAAATGGTCGCCACCTAGTTTTGGACGCAAGTCACACCTGTCCGCGCGACTCTCTGCCCCCCGGTGAGCACGCTCGGAGCACGCCGTCAACCCCCCTCCCTCTCCCCAGTGCTTTTACATCTCCCCGACGGGTCGCTTACGGGTCTCTTACAGATCCCTGGAAGGCGCGGAAGGCCTGCGGGGGCAAGAACGGCTTGCCGACGAGGCCGCGCCGCCATCCCAACAAGTTCAAGTACGCCGTTAAAGGGGAGGGCGGCGCGGAGCCGCGGAGCGACGCGTGCATTAGTTAGGTCCAGGCTCTGGGCACGCCCGGCCAGCCGGCCCGGCCAGCCCGGCGGCCTCCCGCGGGCAACATTTTATTTACAGCCAACCTCGCGCTTTTAAGTAGTAGCGGAAGGGCTGGCCGCGGCCGGCCGGCATGCATTCTTCATTTCATTACATCTATATCGAAGTTTGGCGCGACTAGCCACGCAGGGCGGGGCGGGGCGGGGCGGGGCGGGGCTGCCTGCTCGACTCGACGCCGCCCTCGGCCCCCGCCGCCCCCGGCCCGACAAACGGACGCGAAAACGGGAAAAACGGGATAAAATTGGCGAACTGATTGGAGCGTTCATCCTTCCCCCATGCATCCCCCGCATGCCCGCATGGCGGCGCAGCGAAGGACTCGACTTTGTGAACGCAATACTGGGTTATGGCAAGCGTCCAAACGGTTCCAGGCAAATCCCACAGAGCGCAGTGCTAGCGCCATGCAGGCCGCGCCAGCCGCGCCGTGCACAGCTATTTCAACAGAGTCGTCGGGCCTCGGGGGGTCCCAGTCCCAGCGGGGCCCAGCGGGGCCCAGGCCAGTCGCGAGGGCCCGCGGCACGGCGCGGCACGGCACGGCGCGGCGTGGGTGTGCCGGGCCATCGGCTGGGCCGAGCCGGATAAATAAAACGCGATACAGCACAATAGAAGGCGGCGGCGCGCCCCGCCCGCCCCGCCCGCTCTGTCGGCTCGTCGCTTTGCTTCGCTCGAGTCGAATCGCTGCGATTCGAGCGAGGCTCCAGGAAACGAAATCATGCATAGTTTTGGTGTCCTTACGACCGTGCGCGCTGCGCGCTCCGCGCCTGAGGAGGGGGCAAGAGGAGGAGTGGAGGGCCTGCAGATGGATGGCAACCAATTTCGATGGGGAAGAGGCGCGTTATAGGCCCGATTGAGTACGCTATGGCGCGCCATCCCTCGCTCCGCTCCTCGCAGCAGCCGATGCACTGCACTGCTCGGTGCACTGTGCTGCACTGTAGCCTACAGAGGCAATAGGCAGTGCCAGCGCAGCCCCAAATGTTTTCCCCTGTGGTAGTCCCGGGCAGCGCCTTGACTTGTTGGCGTCAGCAGCAGGGTCAAGAGGGCGGGGGAGGCGCCACACCGCGCCACACCGAGGATCACGGAGGCCGCCCTTTTCTTGGACGTCCCCTGCGGCCCCACGGCCAAAGCGAGGCGCGCACCGGGCAGGGACACACAGAGAGGGGGAGGGGTGATCGGACGCAGTCCAGACAGCTTGCCGTTCAGATTAGGCGGGGGGGGGGAGGCACGAAGAAGGGGACGGCAGACGACAGGGAAGGTGTAAATTCGGGTTGGCGTGTGTTTTGATTTTGACTCTTATTTCAGTTACGAGTTTGTGACTAAAGCGAAGACGTCCGACAACACATAACGACACTTTGCGATCCGCATAAATGGCCTCCGTCAACTTCATCCCGCTATACCAGAAAAGATTGCTGGCAGCAGTGAGCGAGTGTACGTGGGGGCGGTGCAGGCGGTGGCTCGGCGGCGGGTTACTTTTGAGGCGGGGAGCGCGTTCCCTGACGCCACTCAGTATCCCCTGAACGGCTGCGAGGGCGGATCGCGGATTGAGAACGAGAGAGGCGCCGGCCGGGCCCCTCCAAGTGTCGCCCCGCCGAGCAACTTCCCGCCCCGCCCCGCCCCGCGCGTCGCCACTGCCGCTGCGAGCAGACGCTGGGGACATTTGCATGGCGTTCACGTCCACAGAAGACCACCCGGGCCAGGAGGGCCAGGAAGGCCAGGGCAGGGGTGTCCGCCAAGCCAAGGGTCTTGCGGGGGAGGGGAGGCGGCAGCGGCAGCCACCGGGGCCCCCTGTCGGCCCTGTCGCCGGGACGTGGTCCTCGGGCCCCACGGAGGGCCCCGCCGAGGGCTCCCCCAAGGGCTGCCGAAGGGCTCCCCCAAGAGCCCCAAGCCTTTCGCCAGAGCCCTTCGACTGGACCGGCGGGGTTCAAAACGTACCGCGGCGTCGACGAGGTCGTCCAGGCCGTCCGGCCGGTGCTTCGGTACTTCTGGCAGTCCGGGACGAGGCCTCACAAAACACTCTCGGCGAATCCGAGCCGCACTCGTTCGACCGGGTGGGGGGAAGGAAGGTGGGGACGGCCAGGTGGGACTTAGCCTCGGACCTGACGGCGACACGGCGATGCAGCGACGGCCTCCCTCCGTCCTGCAGCCTGCAGGACTTGCAGGACCTGCAGGACTTGCAGGACCTGCAGGACCTGCAGGGGAGTGGAGAACAAGACACGACACGCCAGCGTCCGGTCAGCAATTCTCAATTGCCCCATCTTGGCGATCAGCGGTCTTCGCCCCGCCTCGCCCCGCCTCGCCCCGCCTCGCCCCGCCTCGCCCCGCCTCGCCCCGGCCCCTCCCGGTCCCTCAGCCTCCCCACTCAGTCCAAGGCAAAGGCCAAGCACGTGGCGGCCACGCATTCATCCTGCACTTTGCCGACGAGCAACAACGACAACGACAGCAGCAACAACAACGACACCAGCAACAGCAACAAAAGAGCTTCACCCCGCGCGGGTGCGAGAGAGACAGACCGATGGGAACCCGCGCTAGGGATCAGCCTTCAGCGCGAGCGGCAAGTCATATATAATGCACCTCGGAGGATCGTACGTCAACGGCGCTGGCAAGGCAACACGCGCCGTGGACGTGCAAAATAGTACGTGAAATCGGGTCAGCACAGCACGCCAGATGGCCGAATGCGCGCCGAATGCGCGTCGCGCGTCGCAGATGGGCACCGCGTCGAGAGTCGCAGCCCACACGTCGTGACGCCACTCCAAAAAAACGACCATAAGTCTTTTCCGCGAACAGCGTCAAATCGCGAGTCTGGCTGACTTTGGGCGCCTACTGCGGCCTTTCCAAGGCGGGAAATCGCACTCGCTCGACGCGGCGGTGGTCTTGGATGGCCTGCTGGATGAGCGGGGTGTTTTACCGCCATGCACAGGGCAGGCCGATGCCATGAATCCCAAAACGGGCCCAACGCGGCGCGGCACGGCGGCACGGCGGTACCCAGGTAGTGCTGCGCTGCTGCAGGTGATAAATCCTCATGAGGGCGAAGGAGAGCGAGAGGTGGGAGGGGGACAGAAAGCCCACCGCATTTGAGTTAATTGCGCTGACCCCCCCCCCCTCCCTCCGCCAGCTTCGCCACTGTTGTGGCCGCGACGACGGCGTCTAAATGTCTAAATGTCTCGTCAAAGGGAAGCAGAGTGAGAAAAGGAACGGCGGGGCGCCTCCAACAATTAAAGTGGCCGCCCGCGGTGCCCGGGGTGCTTTGCGGGGCTCCGTCTCTCTCGCACTCGTCGAGCGTCCCGTATAGGGGTGCGAGAGAGACAGAACGACTCTGGCGGGGGCAGTTTCTCTTGCCCGTCTCACAGCCGCTCAAAGCGTCCCCGGCGAGGAATACTTTAACGCGCACTTGCCGATAGAAAAGTGTCTCTGTGTGTGTGTGTCGGTGTGAAGCAGGCGAAATGGATGTGGTCCCCACGGGCAGCCAGGGGCAGCCAGGGCCGCACGGCGAGGGCCTCGGACCAGCACACTGGCATGTCACGGTGCCACGACACTGGCACGTCACATCGGTATGCACGCCGGGCACGCCCCGTCCGGACACAAAGTGGACACGTGAGTCGGCCACCGCGGCGCCGGCAAGGCGGGCGTCAAACGCTGCAACCAGTTCGGACAACCTTGAAAATTGCCAACGCCAGAAGGCGGCGGCAAGGGACCGTCCGGGGCGGAGGCGGGGGAGTGGGAGGGGGGGGGGAGGGGGGGGGCTTCAAAGCCCTTCTTCCTCCAGTCCTTTTCCGCGAGTATTTTCGGAGCGAGGCCGCTGGGGGCGCTGGGAGCGTGGGCCGCCGCCGCCCCAGGCGATGAACCATTGCACTAAAGGGCCGCGCGCGGAAAAAAGGCAAAGACCGCCTGTGTCGCGACTGTGTCGCTGTGAAGCAGACGACGGACGGGATCAAGGGGGTGGGGGGCACAAGTGGTGCTATTGTCTACTACGTGACACGGTTCTTCAAACATAAATAACAGCCCGAAAATTGCAAAGAACAAAAAGGTCCATTCAAATTTTGGCGCCGCGCCTCGCCCCGCCGCGTCGCGCTCTTGTCACATCTTCCCGGCCCGCCCGCCGTCTGTTCTTTTCTGCTGCCGCGCCGCCGCGCCCTAAATGGGCCCGCCCTCCCTTTGCAAAGACTGTCCAATTCAGCAAATCGCGGCCTCTGCCTTTTCACTGAAGGCAGAGAGAGGAAGGGGGAAGGGGCGGTGCTGCTGCACTCGTGCTTGCTGCTTGCGGCCGCCTTAAACAACGCCGTCGGGGCTGCGCTAGACGACGGTGTCATAAAAGTGTTTGCGTTTGGTTCGGTTTGGTTCGATCAAGCGGCACTTTTAAATGCTCGGTTCGCCATAAGATAACTTTTGGGTAGTTTTTCTGGAGTGCAGATTAGGAAGCGCGCCTCGTCAATGTACGGCGCAGGGCCGTACTCCGTTAAGAGCAGGGCAGCTCAAGTGAAGCAGACGGCGGGCTGCACCAGAGTGCGTCCTGCGCATACCGCGCCCTTATTCGCAGAGGAGGCGCGCGGTCGCGCGGTCGTCTTGATCGGCCAGCCGTGTTGGCCTCTCGGCTCTTTTTCCCTCCCTTTCACGAGTTTGCTTTCGGGGCTCTCGGCATGCTCGGCGTGCGGTCCACCAGTGGCGCAGCACTGCAGGCGCCGCCGCCATCGCCACGGCCCATGGCCGCCACGGCCGCCATGGCGCGCCACCCACACAGACATTCATATGCCGGGATGAAAGCGCTGACTCCCAAGACTTTTCACTCGAGCCGCCAGTCCAACCCCCTCCCCCTCCCCTCGAGGCCCGCCTGGCTCAGCACTACAATCGCATGCATGCCGCAGCCGATTCCCAAGAGTCGTTCTCGGGTGCGAGAGAGACAGAGGTACTCACCTACGTTGACGAAGCAGATGACGGCCGAGGACGCCATGGGCGGTGGTGGACGGGGCAGGCCGTTGCCATCCACCTGGGCATCGTTCTGGAAGCAGAGGCCACGGATGAGACACTGTGAGACGCTGTGACACTGCAGGGTGGCGTTGTGTTGGCCACCCTGATGCATGTGCACAGTGCGGCCGGTCCGGCCCTGAGCGGCCTCTGCGCGGCGTCTCGATATTATTTATCAGCAAAGTTGGTCGCATTGCATTCCGGAGCCAGTCCTTTATTATGCTGCCCGTCTCCGTTTCCAACAGAAACACAGCGCCGGCCGCAATCACACGTCCACAAAAAACAGACAACTTTTTTGCATTCTTTTTATTCATTTTTTTTACTTTTGGAACGGGGTTTGTTCATTTAGTGTTGTTTCTTCCAGGTGTTGACAACGCTGTGTCAAAACAAACTCGGCGGCGCTAAACTCTCGTCCAGCCGAAATGGCCGGGCCGCCGCTCGGGCCGCCGCATCCCTCCCCCCCCCCTCCCCCCGCAGTGTCCCCCGGCGAGTTTCATTTTCGAATGCCGTTTGTTTCCCCCGAAGTGTTTTATGGGGCGGCCATTTTCTTTACGAGATTAATACAGCAGCAGCCACGGCCGGGCGGCCCAGCGAGGGAAGGCCGGGGAAGGCCAGAGCGTGTCCAGCCGCCACAGTCGGCCGCTGGCTGGCGTCGGCTCAGACTCGGTCACCAGGAAGGGGAGCAGGGGGTTGCAGCGGAAGCGGATGGGATATTTATAGTTATTCGCTAATAAAAAAAGAACGGCGGTCGACTAAAAATCTCAGAGAAAGTGGTTGAGTGTGACTGCTAGAATTCAGTGTTCAAGGCGCCCCTCCTTCCCCGGCCCGCTCCGCCTCCGCCTAACCTTTCCGGCGAGTTAAAGATAACCGTGACGTAGATGCGCCGGGCCCTTCCAGAAGAGCGTTACGTGTTTGGTGCACGGACCGAGGCAGCCAAGGCCGCGCGGCCAGGCCGGAGCCAAGACGACGAAAACAAAAACGCTCTCCTTCTTCTCGGTTCGGCTTTGCAGGAAATTAGAAGGCCGGGGGACGCGAGCGAGGGACAGATGGGGAGGTCGCCTCGCCGACAGCCAGCCATTGCAGCCAGCGGCCTCCCGCCCGGACGGCCCGGACGGCCCGGACCCAGGACCAAGACGAGGAGGTCTCCAAAACTAGATCAGGCCAAATCGCAGGCAATCAACAGCAGAGCAGCAATGCGGGGCGGGGCGGGGCGGGGAGGATCGACTGGATGCCCTCAACAAGTCGGAGGGACGCGGGGCCGCGGGCCGCGCGCGTCCAGATGGCGTTCGACGGCCTCGCAATAAGCAAGGCAGCGAGGCAGCGAGGCGGAGAGCGGATTGATTCAGCTGAGCACACACACCGGACAAGACGACGACGGCATGAAAAACTTGCCGGTCAAAGTTTTCTCCGCGAGTTGGCGCGCCGCGCCGGAGTTTCTGCCGCCAATCAGGTGCGGCGCGGAAAATTATTCATTTCCGAGAGGGCGGGGCGGGGCGGGGTGGGGCGGGGGGGGCGGGGGGGGGGCGGGGGGGCGGGGTGGGGCGGGGTGGGTAAATCGGCGACAAATGAAAGTCCAAGGCGGACGGAAGGGCGCCGCCCAGTGTCGCCTCGCCAACGCCGAGTCCAAACGGCCGGGGCCCCGCCGCCATGCCGGGGGCCTAGCCCAAGTCAAGGCACCGTCTAACGCACGTTCGCGTCCGCGCTAGGCCGCGCTAGGCCGCGCTAGGCCCTGCTAGGCCGCGCTAGGCCACGGGAAGCAGGCCGTAGTGGGGCAGGGGGTCGGAGCAGAAATTTGATGACGGCTGACGCTGAATGTGGGCGAGTCACGCAAGGACGCGGCGCGCCCCGCCTCGGCCCGCCTCGGCCACCCGCTCAAACTCGCGCCCTCCTCGTCCTCCTCGTCTCCCCCGAGTCCCTCCAGTGCCTCCAGTCCCTCCGGGCGCTCGCGATCCCCGCCCCGCCACGGCATTCCACGCAAGACTGTTTAAGACGGAAAAATACGCCAGGCCGCCCCATTATGCCAGTCATTTCCGCGCGCGGCTCTCGGCCCGGGTTCGAGTCCCGGCGGCTGCCGAGCGCGGGGGACTTTCTACTTCTTCTTCCTTTTTTTCGGAGCCGATCCGGCCGGGAACACGCCGTGCTTTGGCTCGGGCCGCGAAGCCCTGGCGTAGCCCTGGCGTAGCCGCGTCTGGGTGGAGTCGGCTTGCTTGGCAGCCCGCTCTTGCCAGCGGGGTGGTGGCGGGGCGGGGCGGGGCCGGGCACATAATTATTGTTGCGAATCACGCCACCTCGGCCAGCCCGAGGCAGCCAGGGCCTTCAAGTTCTCCCAGCAGCCCAGCCTGAGCGCCGTGTGGGAAGGCAAGCCCGTTACACACCCGAGTGCTCTGCGCGCTGGGTTGCCTACCCGACGGGCGCTCCGCGCGCGCGGCGCTGGCGCGGGCCGTGGGCCTAGCGTGGCGGCTATACCCCCGGCGACAGTGTGGCGGCACGCGATGCCTGAGGCACGGGGTATATCCCCGACGCCCCCGCGGCCCCCGCCGCCCCCGCCGAAGGCGTGGGACCCGCGATCCGCTGCACAATCATGCTAACCTGAAACCTCCACCCCTTTTGCATCACATCCCGCGCCGCCGGGCCGCCGGGCCGCCGCCGCGAGAGCGAGAGAGACAGAGAGAAAAAAGTTATTTTAAATATGAATTTTCGCGTTAATGAGCAGACGAACGGCACGCTACGGCAGCCCTACCCGGCGCCAGGCACATCGCGTGGCGTGGCGTGGCGGGGCGGGGCGGGGCACGACTTAGGAATTAACTTCCCCTTCCTCGTGCACGCGGAGCACGCCAGCGAGTCCTGGACGGGATGCACGGCAGGAGGGGCTGGCAGGACTACTGGTTAACAGCTGACTATACAGGCCCTGCCGTGCCCTGCCTGCCACTCGGACGGGACACTCGCAGTCACTCCCACACTCGCACTCACTCCGGCGACTCGAAGCCCTCGAAGCTGTCGGCCGACGAAGGGCGCCCCCTCCTTCACCACCAGCTAGTGGTGCGGGAGACAACGCAAAGTAAAGCCCGCCATTAGAGTTGATAAACGCAAACTCCGACGATCAGCCGCAAACGGGCCACATTTCACCCAGCCCGCGCCCCGCGCCGCGCAGCCCTGGGCCGAGCCCTGGGCGGAGCCCGAGCCCGCCCCCTCAAAGTCTTCCGTCTCGACATCGTTTGTATCCCCGATTGTTTATAAGGCCTCTAAGTCGGCCACCGCCTTGTCACGCGGCGCGCTCGCGATTATCTAATTTGGGCGGGGAGGGGGAGGGGGAGCTCGAGGTGGGCCAGGGGCGGCCAAGGGTGTCCTCCAGGGCGGGCTCGGCGGGCAGACACGCAGCACCGCGAAAACCATCGCGGATGGGAGGCCGCGATGGCCGCGACGTACAGTCGCCCAAACTGAGATAATGGCGACGCGACCCGCGGCGAAGGCCGAGAGGCCGAGAGGGACGGCGAGAATAAAAGACAGAGACGGAGAATGGGAGAAAACTGGCTCGGAGCTAGTGCAGCTTGCAGCCTGCTTGCAGCCTGCTTGCAGCTCGCGCTGCCAGGAGACAAGCTATAACTCTCGCGGGCGGGGCCGGGCGGACCGGGCGGGGCCGGGCGGGGCGCGGCGCCTGGCCTGGAGCAGGGGGTGGGGGTGCAGCGGGGCGGCGGTGCAGCCTGCAGGCCTGCAGCGCGACATGCAAAGTCCCAAAGGCCTAAACTCAAACTATACCCTGCCGGAAAAGGCGACGCACCACCCCCGCGCCGCCCCCGCCGCCCCCGCCGGAACCAGGGGGGACAGGAAGCATGCATGGTGGGGGTGGCGGCTTGGGTACTTCTAGATTAATTGCTGCATTCATTTAAGACCGCGCCGGGGCTTTCAGCTTGCCTACACTGCCAAGTGCAGAGCGGCCCTGCTGGCCCTGCTGCGGGCACCGTGACACGGATTCCCGGCTGCTCTCGCGTGCCGCTCGGCTGCGCCGCTCCAAGACGCACCTGTTTCCTCCCTAAATTTTCCGCTCGGTGGTCGCAGCACCACTTTAACCCCACCGCACAAGACGCAGTGGCCACCGCCGCCCTCCTCCGCCGCCCCGCCGCCCCACCGTCACGCCGACGACGGGGTGATGTGCTTTGTATGTTTACGCGGCCACGCGGCCACGCCACGCGGCCACGCGGCCCGGCAATGGCAGAGAAATATGTAAACAAGAGCCACCTCGCCTGCCTGGTTGGCCGCCCCGCCGCGCCCCGCCCCGCCGCACGACCCAACGCGTGGAACATGTCAACAATTACGACCCCGAGCCTGGCCCGGCCCGGCCCGGCCCAGCCATCTCCCACGAGGCCGCGCAGAACAGGCCCTTCAGGCCGCGCCCCCCGCCACGCCTCGGCCATGCCGCATGGCCTGCTGCTGCTGCGAGGTTCGGCTCATTTTCGCGGGGAGGTGGGGGCGAGGGGCGAGGGTCCGGGTGTGGACGAGGTGTTGGACGTTACTCGCCTCAGTTTATCCCCGTCGGGACGCTAACCGCCTCGGCCCTCCCCTCGCATAGGCCTTGCGGGCCTTGCGGGCCTCGCAGGCCCTCATGCACGAGCACGGCGACGACGACAAGTGGCCCCAGACCAACACGACCACGGTCTGTGTGGCAGGCGGGCGCGAGGCGAGGCGGCCTTCTAATATCAGTTGCCAAGGATGCGTGCCGCCCCGCCAGCCCCGCCAGCCCCTCCAGGCTCTGCCTTCCTTGGCCGTGTCTTCACAGCCGGCGCCATGACACCCATTAAGGACACTCGGTACCCCTCCTCGGCGGGGCCGGGCGGCCGGGCCTCGCCCATGCAAGGGTGGTACAGCCAGCCCTTCTTCAAGGCACTGGGGCACATCGTCACATCACATTGCGACGACGTGTGTAAATATTTTCCGGCCAACTTTATTTTCCGATCCGGATGCCGTACGCTGAGTCTGGCCGGCAGCCGCGCCGTGCTCCCCGTGCTCCCCGCTCCCGCCGCCGGCGGTTTGTATTGA